CCAGTAGAGAGCGATTAATTGCCACGCTACAGTACTTAGCAACTTGAAGGAATTTTGAAGACCTAAAATTCAGTTGTGCAATCTCCCCTCAGCTTCTCGGGAAAATTATACCTGAAACTTTCAAATAAGCCACCAGCCTTGGCAGAATATGCTCGGAAATCTTTACCAGTATTTAAATTGTTCCCCAAAAATGTGCATTTTGTTCTGGAATGTTAATATCAACGTAGTCTTCAAATTTTACTTTTATAATATCCCCAAAAGGTAACTGATCGGATTGTATTTGACTAACAGTTTCACCAACAGTTCAGTGTTGTTCCGCAATTTTGCTTAAACATTACCCAAAAGCCTGCATTATATTCAAAGTAATTTAAACAAAATATTTTTTTAAATGACTGTTTAATTGGAGTAGGATTAGTCGCATTTCCATTTTGATTTCTTAAATTTCCAAACATATTTTCAAGAAGTTCCTATTTTGTGATTCTATGTCCGGCAAACAAATCCGTGAAACGACTACACACGTGCGTATTTGTCGGGCTCGCTGTCCGTGCTCGTCGTCCTGATCGACGGATGGCGAGCAAGATATGTACGCCGAACACGCGGATACACACATACGAATTGATACGGATCTGTCCCGCGTACATGTCCGCCGTGCAGATCCGCCGTACATATCCGCATGTGAATGGGGCCTTTAAGCGATTGTGATAGGGGTGAAGGGTAATCGCACATTATAAACGAATGTTTTACGCTATTTTGTAGTCCAGCAGACACTATGGAACACCCCATAGCTCCCATTACTAAATGTTTATATTTGCAAATTAATATGTCATTAAGTACAATTTGTCATTAAGATACTATTACCATAATTACACATCACAATACCTTTGGAATTGGCAGTGTATATAGCTAATAATATTTGAATTTTATCAACTATTCAGGTTCATTTTATAATTACATTAGTCAATGTTGATATGAGAATTAATCTACAAGAAGCATAAGCAAATGCCAAAGTTTAGACTCAACATTTAGGAGCGAAATGTTTTAGGGGAGAAGTCTCACAAGGAGTGAAAAGTCCGAGGGGAAAGTATCAAAATGGGCGAAAAAGCAGGGGGCGAAGTGTCACAAGGGGCGAAAAATCCTCATCATCCCGTTAAAGAGGATGACTCTGCTTTGATTGTTCATGTTAAGGGTACGGAAAGAACGTTTGCTATTTTGAATATATCTGGAGGAATCGATTATACTGAATTGATTAAAAAGTATAGAAATTTGCGGCCAAAACATTGCAAAATTTTTATAGTAACCGTAAATGCACTTGCAACCATGTAGGAATCAGCGACAGATTCCTAGGAATATTGCAAAATGCAAAGTTAATCATAGAACGGTATACCTACTTACATCCGTCAAATTTATTAAAAATAACTACGGTAAAAGTTTACATATTTTGCAAGTTGCTGCAGGGAAATTCACTGTATGAATAAAATGCGTTTTCTTGGACAAAAATAATGCATCCGAAGGAACTCTGCAAAATTCTGGCAGGCAGTTGTGCCGATATTAGGATGCTTAAAGGACACGGCGATTGAAAAGGTGACGCAGTAGCAGAGGGATATGTGGCAGATTCACTAGAAAATAAGAAAAAAATTGCCCTAACATTTGAGTCATCGATTGGTAACTGCAGTATTTGTACAAGTGAACCGACTGCCAAGACCTGAAATTCTGAACTCTACAATTACCGGAAATTCAAATTGGGCATTTTATATTAATACAGTGTAATACAAATTTGCGTTGTTTAATATGTTCTATCTTGGCTGTTGTCATATCGCCATATCGTTTGGTTATGGCAAATGGATGGTCAGAACTTTAGTAATTAGTTCAAGCAACAAATTGGTTTAAAATCATAAAGCATCAATCCTACCATAAAAACTTTAACAGATAAACGAGTTAAAAATCTATATGAAGGGAAGCAATAAAATTTAATTTTGTGATGTTATAAATTCTATATTAGATAATATCTGCCGGGCTGCTGTATAATCGTGTAGTCCTCTTGTAAACTAGAAGTTTTAAAAGTTATAGGAGACCGTAGATAAAAAATATTCTTTCAAAAAGGGACAACGATCAAGATCTGCGAATTCATATTACTTAACAGAAGCAATAAATTACGGAAAAGCGTTTATTGTGATAAATGACATTTTTCTCTTTTTAAATTTCCTAACCCTTGATATATTTCACGCTGAACCATGTTCTGGGTGAATGTAACTTTTGTTTGAATGTAACTTTTGTTTGAATGTAACTGTAATTGTTGAATTTTAAACTTTTACCTAATTTGATGAGGATTGTTTCTTTAACGGTAATAAGTCCTATTCGTTTGTCTTCCCCTACGATCGTTGCAAACGAGCTCATTAACGATGTACTTTGACATTTGTCCTTTTCAGGAATCGCCGTAAAGTGGATTCGTATTTATCATTCTGACAATTACGACAATTACCTAAAAGGCGTAGGTTGTTTTTAAATTAGATTTCATTATAAATTATATCTTTGAAAAGTCACCTTTGTGAAAAGCCCGACCTCGATCAGAATGGAAACACAGCGCGCTACAGACAGTCAACGGCACTGAAATACTTTCATTTTGACATGCAGGTGATATACCACTTCATCGTTTGTCGTACAAAATTAAAAGTTAGAGAGATAATCTAGCAATGTCAACAATCCCTTTAGATTAGATTACGCTCTTGGCGTTGAGGAAACATTGGGGAGAGTCGAGTTATACTAAAGGGGATTGAAAGACTTAGCCCACTCATCCTGGGGCCTTGTTTTTCACGTGAATTAATCCATGTAGCGTACAATTAAGAAATTCTACCGACTATTGATTTTTAATACATATCATAAAAATCCCTTGTGAGGCGTTCATTTTGTACTTCAGTTTCCAATCCTTTTTGCTCTATTTACTTGTAATTGTGTAGTGATTTATAACTCTTATATTACGATTTGGTAGCTAACGGCATTTTTTACGTCATGTTGGCAACACTCTAATTTACACCGAAGGTTGCCATAAGAGACGAAAGTTTCTGAAAACTGAAATGGTGACAGATAGGAGTAAAAGAATAAAAGATGTATCAGATTAATGATATGGTGTAATTAAAATTCAGATGGAAGCGTTAGAGAGATATCGCAATACTTTCTATATGCGAGAATAACAACAATTTTGGCAAAGTATATCAGGTAACCGCATCAGGCGACTGTATCATATCGATGTCAAAATGGCTGCAAGTGTAGTACAATTCAAAAACGGTGAAGTGTTACATTGCAAATGCAAAGCTGTTACATGTTTTCAACTATTTCTGACAGCAGGATTGGCAACACTGTTATAAAAGGTTTATTTTTGTTTTTAGGTGTGTGGTAGAGTACGTTTACATTGCGGCACGTCAAATTGTTTGCTACCGTACCATCGGATTTACCCAGAAAAAGTGAGCACCTTGTTTCTAATCTCATCCGTTATTTTGATCGAGAAATGGTTGTCCACTTTATCAGTCGCAGCAGTAAGAGAGGTGCGTGGCTACTTTAGTAATTTATGAATTCGTATACGTAACAAATATTAAGGTAGAAAATCTAGCATTGGAACTGTATCTGGTTTTATCGTAAAGATAAGTTGGTGTTTTTTTGATGATTATTTTATGGTATTAAGTAGCTGCGTGCGCAAGTCTCCTATTATCCATGTTCAGTCATTTTATTTCGGTTAATTTATGAGCAGCGCTCATACTTCTTTTCACCATAAATCAATCTAAGGCACGAATTTTGTATTTTTTGAATTCTATACTTAAATATTTCATAAAATATTTTCTGTTTAGATTAAAGTTCTTCCAGTGGCGTGACATTAAAAAGGGGGAAGATGTGGCAACACTGTAAGCATCTGATAAATTCACACACGCGCCCCCTAGGCACAATATATACGAACAGCACGAAGAACATGCATCTGTTTGCGATCAGCCACGATATGCGTAACTATTGGTAGGTACCAGTATTATCCTCTGTTGTTTCTCTTTGAAGTATTATTCATTTATTTAAAGAAAAACTAGAACAACTTATGTATGTTCGCAATTTATATGTAGAGCTTGTATATAATTGTAAATAATAGAATCTAACTTTGCACAACCCTTAAAATTTTCATATTTTAATGCCCATCCAATAAAAAACATTTGAACAGAAGATTGTAGTTACGGATCGGAAGGTCGAATCTTTGGACTCTAGATACATCCTAGAGGGGTACTACTTATTATTGAGGAACTGTTCGTTCAGTTTAGTAATTTTGAATTATCGTTTTTAGAAAATTTCTCACCTTTATCTATACAGATAAAAATGAATGTTTGTCTGTCTGTGTGCATGTCTCTTATGTCTGCATTACCGTTCATTCCATTGCGACGATACTTTGGGAATGATTGAACGTATGCTCGTGAAGGTGTCTGATTTAGCAAAATTGCTCGATGTAAGGCGGCGCAGCCCCCAAAACCGAGCTTATGCCCCATCCTGGAGCGGGACATTGACTAATAAGCGGTACGAAGTTCTCCGGGTCTGCTAGTTAATAACAATGCGCTATTATTTTACGTATTAATTATGATAACAAACATCATAAATCCTAAACTGGGTGCAACAGTAAGGCCCCTTCTATAATAATCGCAGATAAATACACAAAATGAGTACTACCTGTATTATTTAATGTAAACAACATTTGTCACACAAAAGGCAGTTAAACGTAAATGGTCGTAAAAAGTTTTCTAACTGGCACATTAAATGTAACAAAATGTTTCAAAGGATCTCGTCTGGCGTAAAAAAATTACGGCTGTAAATGACAAGCAATTTTAAAAAATTAAAATGGGTAAATTTACAGTCAAGAGCATAACGACCGCCTAAAGTTGCGGCTTTTAAATTTCAAAGTCCTTAACAATATCTTAATATAAGCGAACCTCAAAAGTTTGTGTCAACAAAGTCATAAAGGATCGTAGTTAACTCACCGTTCTGTCGCCAGGACGTTTGACTCTACAATGGAGGGTGGTAGATTGTCCCACAACGGCAGTTACGTTCCGGGGTCCCACGTCGTCGAAATACGGTCGTTCTACGGCACCCTTCGCCGATTCTACAAACTTAGATTTGGAACTGTCGGATACTCCCATTAAGTTACCCACACCTGAAACAAAGTATTTAGTAGTATTAATGAGTTGAACAAACTACTCTCCCGATCCTTATACTAACTAAACAACACCGCAAACCTAACAGCTTGAAATTAAACTAATGTACACTGTGGCAAATATACTACACCGAATTAGATTACGGCAGAATCCAGTAAACCTACTTCTCAGGAATGCTAAAAGATTCAATTACGTAATTGATTTTTGACGACCACTTTAATTAATATTAGATAAATTCTCGGCAGCTGTTCATATTTTAGATGTTTTTAATTAAACTTCATCTCTTCTTTGGACGAATTTTTTTAACGTGAAGTAGACTTTTCGTATAAAATTAAATTGCCACTTAAGTTTCTTATTCCATTCGATTAAAATTAGGAAGTGAAGCTTGGGTAATAATTAATCATTTTCAAATCCGCTTATTCTCTTTTCGGTCACGTGAGCATTTGGTTATAAAATGGGACAATTTTGCGCCCATTCAGATGCCTGTTCATTTTAAAATAAAAGTTTGAGAGCTAATTACTTCAATTCTGGTAAATTAATACAGTTTATATCAATATTGAGTCAATTTTCCTTTCGTTTAGTTTTAAGGCGCTGTTATTTGCGACTGATTTTAAGTAACTATGAGAAAGACAGCATTGACGTTTATGTCAGAATTAATTAGGCGTATTAGTGTACACTTGGAATTACTAAGTAGGACCGTTTAACATTTTTATAAAGTAACCCTCTCCATATACGTTTTAATTAAACCAGTTAACAGTTCAATAAAGTGAAGCCCGTGAACGATAATAGAAGTAAAAGTCATAAAAACTAGGATTAAAGACAGAATGCCTTCAAGTCACCATATTTTACTTGTAGTGTTTAGTTTTATTACCGCATTTTATCGAGTTAAATGCCATTTTGTGGCTTTAATTAGTGAAATTTATTTAAAAAGAAAACGGCTACATTTGTACTAAAGTGTTACGCTGGATACTAAAGTCGTATACAGCTACACCACCTACCTCTCGTTTTTCAAACGGTTTGAAAGATAGTATACTTTTCCGGCACGTTTAGCTATTCACACCTTTCATTGCACAATGACAGAATTCCATAAACATCCAAGAAGTTCAAAGGCAAAAAGTAATTTTTCTCATAAATAAAACACAGATTAGGTTGAAAGGATATTTTATCCCTTAGAATAAATGCATACAAAATTAGAGAACGAGTTAGTCGACAACACTGCTGCAAAAGAAACTCCTAAATAAATCAACATTGAGTGTCATGACATCTTTCCTTGCTATTTAATTAAAACCCAATACGAGGGCTGTTTTGAATATGGTTGCTGATGTTGGTGAACGTTTTCTGGTTTCACCCCGATATTGTAAGGGTATTTCAAATCTCTCTCAATCTCAATCTCTTATAAGCGCTAGATAAAGTTAAATTAACGAGATCATCTTGCGAAAATTCCGTAGCGTGAAATATGTTGAGTAAAAGGCTTTTTTTTAATGTGTGGATTTGGAAAACGTTCGGCATTGGTTGAAAAGAAGGCGCTAACCAATGGGAAATTTAGAAATTTTTTCAAATTAGTTCGCCAGATTTGATTTTTAGATGAAGTTATTAAGAATTATAGAAGGGAGCATTCGTCATCTGAAAGCCAGAGTAATAACTACGTAGCCTAGTAGAACAAAATTAGCGTTGTAATTACGGGCAAAGAGTAATATTTCCGGTTTTTCAAAAATTTAAAGATTAAATAAATACATGTAGGTATTTATTTCTATATATATACCTAATCTATTTGTGTCAATTTATTTTTAAGCCCAACAACGTAAAAGAAGGTTTATTCTCAAAAATTACTAAAAACACGAAACTTTAAATTAGTGTCTCCTAAACTATATATGTTAGGGGGCCAAATAAACTATCAAATGAAAGGTACTTTTATGCACTACAATTTTGAATAAAATATGATTTCCGTTGCAGAGTTATTGTAGGAAAACCGAAAAGTCAAACATTTTTGCAGATTTTTTACCACAGAAATTTCTCCCGACGTCAGTCGCATTGGAAAACTTTTCTCTCTCTCGGACCTTTTGTAACCATGAAGTACAAATTGACTGGACAAGTTGGAAAAGCAAGTAGATTTGTCATTTGAACTTTGTTGTTTGACGTTTAATAAAAAATATTGAAATTGATGTGTCCACTCTGTTTAAGTATAAGATAAATATTGTTCTGTAAAAAGGAATATCATGTTGTATTTTGTTGTGATTGGAAACAGAGAGCATCGTAAATTTGATAAGCAAATTGCTCAGTTAACTATCAAAAATTTGAAAGAAATTTTTATGAAAAGGAGACGTTTTACCGTAAGTAATTGTGTATCTTTGGTCATTAAAAGCTATCCCTGATAATAAAAGGAAATTTATAAGAAATTTCCAAATTTTGATTCAGAATCCATACGTTTCAGTAAGACAGTTCAAAACCTTTAAATGAAATTAAAAAAACTTGTTTCAGTACCACCATTAAAATCAAAGTCTATCTTAAGTATTTATCGTGCTCGTTTTGTGCTGACTTGTGTGCCAAGTTTTACGATTTGTGCATCAAAATTAAACGTAGTATGGAATTTTTAAGGCTATAACCATTGAAGAAAGAATTATTCAATGCTACAACTTAATGACAAAAAGGAAGGTTTCTGATCAACACCAAAATTGGGATCTGTTTGTGCTCGTTTTGTGCTGATTTTTCCGCACACTGTCACTGAATTCTAGTATTCTGTGGTTACAACCCTCGTTACAACCTATCATGTATACCGACATTTCCCATGGAGTTCAATGTTATATGGTGAATACTGATGGTTTTGTGCTAGTTTATGTAGAAACTTCAAGTTTCTTATGGTGCTACAATGAAAATTCCGTATCCCTAGTTCATATTGACGCACAAAATGTGGGAATTGCCGCATAAATCATCACAAAACGAGCGTAAATTAATATGTCGAGGACGTTTCGGTACGAAGTTGGGGGAACAACTTAAAGCACGCTCAATTTTTCAAGCGAAACATTTTAGCATTCACCTGCAGCGTTATTGTGCCAAAAACGTTAATGTTATTGGAATTTCGTGCATCATAAGCCGTTACAAAACGAAATATACCTACTTAGTGCAGAATACACGCATTTGTAGCAGTAACAACACAGGAATTATGTACACTTACGTGTAAGTAATTGGTAGTTAACGACTTTGGCAAAGAGAACTTTGCACTAATTCATTTTTAACGATGATGTTGGAGATTAATGATTATTATAATTCCGAAATTCCCTTTATATTGGTTCATATATTTATCTGACGATAGACGCAAGGGGCGGTGAAATATATATCTTTATGTCAAATAGAACATTTGTTATCATTCACACGATTGTGTGGAGAACAATGACAATTCCCAGTTACACTTCAGTGTTAAGCACAATGGAGCGGTATACATCAACTTTATTTTATTTGCTTAGAAAATGCTGCTTTCGCAACCTACCTACAGTACTAATAAGTGTATGCTACATACTTAACTTTGTCTAATCGCATTAAAAACTAATTTCCTCGGCTTGAAGGAAATTGGAAAACTTTAATCTTATTACAATGCTCGAAAATATAATGCGAAATAATACGATCAGTCTGTCAGCACGTTCCTTCCGCTTCGGAATTAATGACTGAGAAGCTGCAGATGTATGTGTAACCACAAGTAAAGTTCAGTAGTTTCTCAGAATTTATAAACCGTGTGGCATTAATTATTGAACTATTGAAATGGCAATGATTAATTCATGAAATCCTGGAAAAATTGTTCTTATGTCAATTTCCGCTAGGGTATTGATCAAAGGGGTGTTCTATATAGACATGTTCCCCACATTTATAGCCTATAATTCTCCATTTCACGCTTTGTAAAACAGCCGAACGGTATAGGGCGACATCACTGTCAAAAAGTATTACCATTGGAAACGAAGTTTTATGTATAATGTCTAAAATATAAAGCAATATTTGGTGCAATTGATCAACATTAATTCAGCGGACGGTTTTTGGCAATGCCGAAATCTCCGTAATCTGTGAAAGGCTTCATATACATATTTCGATCTAGGCGAGGCTACGCACGTACGTTAAGTTAATGCAATTACATTTACATTTTGTATAGTATACTAGAACACTTCCAAAGGAAGGTTCAATTCCGTTGTATGTATAAGCGTGCCCACTAAAGAGAATTTCACTCATCCAGACCGACAGACAAACATAAACACCAGCTTCTACCACTCAAATTGGTACATAAATCATAATATGCGCATACAATTCACCTCTTGGGCCTTACGGCAAGGCCTTTTGACATTTTTCTTTAGAAATTGGTATACGAGGGTAGAACACATGGGGATTTATGATGTAAAACAATCAATTTACTAAAATTTTCAATGAACACTGCGTAGTCGATGTAGCAGTTACATCACATCAAGGCGCATTTCAATCATATCTTGGAGAAGGGGTATGCTACAAAAGCAGGGGATAATTTCTTGGATACATTGGTGAATGTAAATTAGAATCTTAAATTGTGCCCCAAAACTGAAAATTACTTAAGATATTAATTGGTCTTTTTTGTATCAACTACGTGCTTTCTTATTAATGGGAATACGGAACGGTGGGGGTTATAACTTATATTAGTGCCATTGCAAGCGAATTTTTGTTAAGATTATTAACCTTCATCCTTAACCATTAATTTGTAAATCCCACTTAGAAATTCCCAATTTATGCCAATTTTTTTTAAATTTTGCCTTTATTTTTGAGTGGGCGGGGTTTCCGTCAAGGCTGCTCTACCAACCCAACGCACTATACATTTACAAATATCCATGCCCGAACCCGGATTCGAACCAGAGACCCTTGGTACAGCAGTTCAGTTTTAACTGAACTGCGTCACACGGTCCGCACAAAACGTAAAAGTTGGCGCAATAAACCCGCAGAAATGAATATGGGGAGCACTACTTAATCCATATAATGTTGTAATTTACAGACT